AGGTAGACCAAAAGGATGGATGGAAGGATACAAGGAAAGATGGAAGCAAAGACAAGGAGGGAAGGAAGAACAAGAGAGGAAGTAAAATTTAGAAATGGAGGCAGGAGACATCGGAGAAAAGACGGACCTAAAAAAGGTTGGGAGGAAGGAAGGAGGGGGAGGAGAGAAATGAAGGATATAGGTGGGAATGGGAGGACACACTGATAGAGGGACGACATTTAGGGATAGAAGTCTGGAAATACTGAGATTATTTCCATCCATTTCCAGATGAGAAACACTGAGTGTTGTTAGACTGAGCAGGAACCCTGAATGATATAAAAACATGAATCTGCACATTAAGACACAAACAACAACAACGTTACACTGTGTGTTTACACTACTGGTTTCCTTAGATCCAAACTAAAGTGATAATGGTTTAAAAAAACAAACAAACAAGGTCATTTGAATCATTTCTACTGAGAAAACAAACAGAATTGCCACTTTTCCCTTGTTGGTGTAACTGCTTTCAGCTACGCGTTTTGAAGGCGGAGAGGACCGGCCTCGCCCAGGCTGGAGTCGGGATCAGGCGTGGAGACAACAGGCTTTTAGTTTTGATCGTGAGAGCTGACTGCTGGTGATCTGTGGCGTAACGGGGAGCTGAAACCTCGGCGGCTCAGTCACTGATCAATGATCAAAACCATTGCTCTGAGCAAAGATTTAGAGCTGCTGAAAAATCCCTTCAGAACGGTTAAATTAAAGCAATCGGCATAAAAAAACCTGATTGATGCACCTCTAAACATCAATAAAACAACTCATTTCCTAGTTTATTTTTTAGACCAAATAAATATAAAGGCAAGAAGTGATCAAACAGTGAATTAATTTTAGTTAATCGAGTTAATCTTGAGTTTCTTGGTGAGAAGAGGAAAACCTGTTTCTGAGTTTTTAAGTCAAATCAAGAGCAGTTCTGCTAAGAATGGATGTAATTTTTAAAAGTAATTAAAAAAAATCAAAGAGATTAAATGTTTAAAATAAAGTTATGACCTTGAAAGACAATTTTGAGGTTAAATCTAAAGTTTAAATGTCATTAATTAACTGTTTAGGTGGACGTTAGCGTTCTGATAGAGCTCATCCTAATCTGGATCAGATCAGGCTGATCTGAGAACAGGAGATTATTTCTAGAAGTAAAATACGTAGTGAGAAGACGCAGCATCCCAACCGACCGCTTTAGATGCGTTTCTGTGTTTACGGTGAGCTAATCATCCATGGAAGTCAGCTTGATTTAAAAATATCTAAAGTGCAAACGACGGCGCCGAACCCCTGATGATGTGTTCCCTTTTTATGTCAGCTTTACCCATTTTCACAAAGAGAAAGAAATCTTTTGGGAAACATAGATGTTTAAGATCCAGATCAGACAGCTGAGGCTGCACTCAGCTCTATTTTCTTGGACGATGTAAATCAAACGGGGGAAAACAGACGATAAAGGCACATTAATCCTCTGAAGCACCGCGTTCCTATGAGGTTTTGAGCGCAGGGGCCTCTCCTTCCTCCAGGCCTCCTCAGGGGGCCTTTAAGTGTCCTCTGGGTTTCCTTTGGGGGTGCTTGTTGGGCCGGTTTCACACCAGCGTGATCTCCACCTCCTCGCGACGCTTCACCTGGCCTCTAGGATGCTGCTTTGGGGGAGGAGGAGCCGCACGGACCTGCAAACACCCAACAATCCACTTAGAAAGTTCACCTTCCTCTCAGTTAATCAAAGGATCGGGTTTTTACAAGGTTGGAACATGATTCAAATTTTAACTCAAGGGTGATAAATGACTTAGTTAGACTTTATTGGATACAAACTAATAAAAAAAAAGGAGAAGCAGTGCATGAAAAGCAAAGTAAACCTTAGCTGCTAAGGAAAGAAGACACAAAGGTACGAGTCAGCTGCTGTTTTCTGAGGCCTGCTAAAGGTCAGAGTTCAGGACTGGACAATGAGAAAACNTAGCTGCTAAGGAAAGAAGACACAAAGGTACGAGTCAGCTGCTGTTTTCTGAGGCCTGCTAAAGGTCAGAGTTCAGGACTGGACAATGAGAAAACGGAGAACGTGTGTGACGTATGCCATGATCCAAAAAGGAAGTCTTCTTTCTTTCTAGTGAGAACCTGTCTGCATGACTTTGGTTTAAAAAAGCAGCTTCTGTCCAAACTAAAACACCTACAAACAGAAGATGTTCAGCCATGATGCCCACCAACATGTTTGACCGACTGAAAGAATTCACGAGAACGCAAGTACGGACTCGTGTCCTCGCCAAGAACACAGGAAAGTCTGGACTTGGAGAGAACAGGAGCCTGCAGCATAAATATGGGACAACTGGAAGAGAGGAGAAGAAGTGTGGAGACTAGAGACATTTTTTCGGGAATCCCACGTGTCACGGGATTCCCGTGGGATTCCCGTGGGATGGGAGTCAGTATTAGTAACGATCACGTGATTGGGACGGTACGGGATAAACATTAACGGGAGCGGGAGCAAACCGATAGTAACTAAAAAACACTAGGATTGATGCCAAAAAATAAAATAAAATAGAAAGAAAAACAATCCTGTACTGGCGCCGCCATTTTGTAGTTTTTTTTCCTTGAAACCTACACTATATAATGCGAGTCAAAAAAACTACACGACCAAAAACCAACAGTGCTTCCGCTCTGAGTTTTTCACCCGCGCTCAAAAACAACAATGGAGGGACCAACAGTTAGCGGTGAACTCGACTTCGAAAAGTTTGAAAAAAGTGAAATCTTATTGAAGACAACTAGAATGGGAGTGGTGCAGGAGCGGGAGTCATTCTGAATGGGAGTGGGAGTAATTTCACCAGGAGTGGGACGGGACAGGATTTAGATTTCTACTCTGGCCCGGGATCGGGACGGGACACAATTTTTTTCTGTGGGAGTGGGACGGGACAGGAGTGAAAATCCACTCCCGTGTCAGTCTCTAGTGGAGACTCGTGACGTCACCACAAGTCTGCATCTCACCTCCTGTTATTAATAGTCTCTAGATAATAATAAATT